GAGAGGAGGTCGGTCACGGGAAAGGGGACGGGGAAGGGGCCGTGGAAGGGACCGCGGACCCTTCGAACGCGAGGGCGAGTGGCGCCGCGCCGATAATGAACGCGAGAAGGGAAACGAGCGGTTTGCGTGGCGTCGCGGCGGCGGCGAATGCGAGGGTGAAGAGGGGTCCGGTGGCGGTGGTGGCTGGCCCCGTGGAAACCGCAGCGGGTATAATAACAGTTATAATCAACGTGGTGGCGGAGGCGGTCGCGGCTCTCGCAACTACGGCTCCGGCCCACGGAGGGAGCAGTGGTCCAACTGGCGACAGGGCGACAGTGCGCGTGAGGGTGGAGAGGGGCAGCCGGAGGCCAGTCGCAGCGGTGGAGACAACTACGACGCTGAACGGGGGCACAGGGAGCGCGGCCGCGGAGGTCGTTTCTTTGGGGGCGAGCGCGAATTCGAAGAAAGGGCTCAGCGCCGGCCGCAAGAGACGACCGACGACGCGGAACCGCCACAGACTCAACAAGCGCCAGAGGAGCAGCAGCAGCAGCAACAGCAACAACAACAACAACAACAACAACAACAGCAGCAGCAGCAGCCACCCACGCAACAAGGGCGTTTTGACGTTGATTCCTACGAGCGCCCGCGTGGACGGGGACGCGACCGCAACTACCGCGGCAGGGGAGGTTACTCCAGGGATTCCGAGGAGGAGAGTCAGCAGCGGCGGCAACCACAGCCAGAGGCACAAGAGCCACCGCAGCGGCAACACGTGTCGGAGGATCCAATTTCGACTAACCCTAGTCGCACACAACGTGCCCCACATTTGCGCAAGAATTGCTACGACGAGAGAGAAGTAGAGCAACTCTTTGAGCATCATCATCAACAGAAGGGTATTTCCCTAGACAATTATGCCAATATCCCGGTCGACATCATTCCCAACAATGTTGAACCTGTGGAAAGTTTTGAGGACCTTTTTGTGGAGCCTGCGCTCAGCTTGAACATTGCAAAGTGTGGGTACAAACAACCCACACCCGTGCAGCGTTACGGCATCCCCGTCTGTCTCAACGGTGATGACTTGATGGCGTGTGCCCAGACGGGCTCTGGAAAGACGGCGGCATTTCTTGTCCCTGTCGTTCACTACATCCTCAAACACGGCGTGTCTCCTTCTCGAAACCGTGTTAGTTACCCGATTGCCGTCATTATGGCCCCTACACGTGAATTGGCGTTACAGATCTATGATGAGGTTCGTAAACTGACGTTTCGCACCGATATTTTCCATGACGTGGTCTACGGAGGAACGCCGTACCCAACTCGTTTTGAGAATGACATTCTTGTCGCGTGCCCGGGACGCTTAAAGGACATTTTCGATCGTGGGATTGTCTCCTTCAGCCGGGTAAAGTTTCTCATCCTGGATGAGGCCGACCGCATGCTGGAGATGGGGTTTGAGGAGCAGATTGAGTACCTTGTCGCCTCGCGCTACACGGACATGCCAAAGACCACGGACCGACAGACGCTCATGTTCAGCGCAACCTTCCCGCAGCGAATTTTGAACCTCGCGAAACGCTATCTCCGTCAGCACTACTACCTCCTCACTGTTGGTCGCGTTGGCTCGACGACGAAGAACATTACGCAGCGGATTGAGCGCGTGCAGGAGTCTGAGAAAATGGACAAACTGTTTGAGGTGATCTACCAGCAGAAGCAAACCGACCTTGTGTTGGTCTTTGTGGAAACCAAGCGCTCCGCCGAGGACCTTCATTACGCCCTCAAGAGTGAAGGTATTCCAAGCGCCACCATCCACGGCGACCGCAAACAGTTTGACCGTGAACGCGCTTTGCGCGATTTCAAGGATGGCGTCACGCCAATTTTGGTCGCTACCGATGTTGCTTCGCGTGGCCTTGATATCCCAAATGTTGCACACGTTATCCAGTACGATCTGCCAAAGGAAATGGACGACTACACGCACCGCATTGGACGCACTGGACGTGCCGGCAACAAGGGCACAGCCACCTCCTTCTACAACAAGAACAACCGCAACCTCACCGTGGACCTGTACAATTACCTGAAGGAGCACGAGCAGGATGTTCCCTTCTGGCTCGAAGAGGAGAAGGAAAACGTGGAGGGGGAGCGCTTTTTGGGCGTGAGCCGCGGCCGTGGTGGTGGCGGGAGACGTGGTGGCGGTGGCGACGGCCAGCGCGCGGCACCGACGCTGTCAAACTCCACATGGGGCGAATCCGCACCGGCGCGCGGCCGCTCCAGAGGCCTCGGTCGGAGTCACAACGCCGCCAACGTGGACGACGGTGGTTTTTGAGCACCACGGCACCGCACGCATGTGTAAGGCGCAGGAGGGAGCGGGAACAGCATGGGAAATGAGAAAACGAACACAAAAAAGTGCGGCCAATATTTGGCCGCGCGGCGCATTTTTTATGCGGAGACAAACAATAAGTATACACACGCCTATCCCTGTTTCTCTCGCCCCTCTTTTTTTTTCCCCATCATTATGTGTGTGGGTGTAAAGCCAAACGAAAGCACAAAACAAATCTACAGAAAGAAATAGTAGAAATGGACAGCTGTCCAGAGAGAAGGAGAGCGATATATATATATATATATAATAAAAGAAGAAAATGAAGACAAATACAAACGTGCGAAGAAAACAATTTTTTTTTCCCCCATCAGATGACAAACACATACATATATATTTGTATATATATGTACATATATGTATG